TGCCTATGCCCAGGTAAGCTTTAAAAATGTGCCAGAGGGAATATTCACCAATGACACCACCCCCAGGAAACTTGGAATTGCAGTTTATTGAAATTAAACTAATTTTAGTTATAAGATTTTTTTGGTCTTTATAAACATATTTTCTGGATGAATGGAAGCTTACCCCACCCAGACTGAGACAGCCTCCACAGTGACAAAGAAACTTATCCAAGAATTAGTTCCTAGGATTGTATTTCCCCTCACTTTGGGGTGCAACAATGGCCTAGCCTTCATGGCCAAAATCTCTCAAAAATTTGGCAAAGGCACTAAATATCAATAAAAATTTACACAGTGCCTATAACCACAGAGTTCAAGACAACTAAAAAGAATAAACAGGACCTTAAAAGAAACACTAAACAAATGGGTTATAGAAACAGGCAAAAGTTGGGCCAACTTCCTTTGCCCTCTTCAGAGCTAGGTGTGCTCCATACCTGGAAAGATTCACCCCTTATGAAATTACTAATCATTCCCTTCTCAAGTCATTACAGGTCCCACAATAGGCCCAGAGGCCCATCCACCAGATGGTCTGAGGATCTGGTCTCCAGTCTGTCCCAGAACTAGTCTACAATTTCCAGCCCAGTGACTTGGTATGGGTCAGAAGAGTCCCATCCCAGACTCTAGAACCATTCTGGAAGGGCTCATATCCTGTGATTCTTATTATGCTTACAACAGTGGAACTGGCTGAGATCTCATTATGGACAAAAGACAATGAATAAAAGACTGTCACTCAGACCTCCAACCCTTTAATGATAAGACTGACAGGAATTTCCTAATTGTTACATTTGTGGTTTGGCTTCTTTTCCTCCCCAGGAGAACTTCTCAGGAAAACTGGGGATGGGAAATTCCTTGCAGCTATGACTTACAAAAAATAGTCCCAGTTATTCCAATCCAAATCCCTGAAACAGGCCTAAATGTACATCCTCTAACCAGTTTAAGGGTCCAGGAGGAGGGGGGCCTCTGCATACATGTCCACATTGTCCCTCAGGTATAAAGTCAGGTAGACTCTAACAGAAATGGTGTTACAAAATCAGAGACTTTATAAAACAAGGAAAACTTTGTATGACAGTAAGACAAACCTGCTGCTTCTATGCAAATCAGCCTAAAATTACCAGGGAGAGCTTAGCACTTGTCTAACAACTGATATCAGTCTTTATTTTCCTGGTCTCTATAGCTCACTACCCTGCTAACAGCTTTTACTGAGCCCCTAGTATGCCTACTCCTGGCTCTGATAATTGGGCCTTGCCTGATCAGCAGCCTAACAAACTACAATGGGTTAATGTAGTTTAAAAATCATGGTCCCAAGAGGACAATATAATCCCCTAGATGAGTCCAGAATTTGACTCTTGTCCATAGGACCAGTGGGGAATATGATATGGCACCTTCTTGACCATAGCTACACCATGTTGAAGTTTATGCTGATTCTAGCCTTTGAAATTATCAGGCAGTTGGCCCAGGGTATGGGAATATACAACAGCAGGACCCCATTTGTCTTGGGAACAGGTCAGCATGTTCCTGTGTGCATTTGTTAACTGCAGATCTATGGCTTCTGTAGGTAATGCTTGGCTTTCTTCTGCAAAATAGTAATTGTTGCTTAAGAGACTATAAATTGTTAAGGGGCCTTTCCACCTGTGAGCTTGGAAACTTAAACTTTTCATCCCTGGTTATGGTTTTTCTGTATAAAAGCTTACCCTAGAGACAGCTCAGGGCTGCACTTGGATTCTGACACCATTGTGTAGTCATTGGTCAGCTAGTAAAAGACTTTCATTAGGCAAAACTTTGAGTTGACTTTCTGGTGAAGCACCTCACAAAATAAGGGCTTGAGAGTCCAAACACTGGCCATCTGCTGCTGACAATGCCGGCAAGGAGCTATGAGGCACAGGTCACAGGGGGTGCAGCCACCAATAATCAAAGGCCAGGCTTACCTATGACCTGGGTACCTAGAGCTATTGTGTTTTGGCCTCTGGAGCTTCAAGCTGTGTCTAAGACACAGGAAGCACAGTAAAAGCCTCTAGTTCTGTAAGTCTAGCTGATGCACCCCTGACATTGAAGAGCTCAGAACCGCCAACATCAAGGAAGCTGTCCTTTGCCTATTTGCATCCATTTGGATAGAGAAAAAGACATTCAGTCAGCTAAGAGTGACCAATTCACAGAAGACAAAAGCGAAATCAGACAAATGTGATTACATGAAACTAAAAGCATCAGTATAGCAAAGAGAATTATCAGCATATTGAAAGGACAGCCCACAGAACACAAGTTGATAGGTAGGAGATAAAAGAAACTTCAAAAACCAAATGTGAAAAAAATAACACAAATAAAACGAGTAATAGACCTAAATAATTTTTTAATGGCCACTTAGTATATGAAAAGAAGCTCAATATCACTAATCATCAGAAAAGTTAAAATTTAAACCAACCTGAGATAGCATCTTACACCAATAAAAACAGCTTCATATAATGACAGGATAAGTAGTACTGGCAAGGATATGGAGAAAAGAGAAATCTTGCTTAGTTTTATGGAAAACTGTACGGAGATGCCTCAAAAATTAAAAGAACTATCTTATGAGACAATAATCCCCTAAGTGAATACAAATTCAAGGAAAATGTAAACAATATGTCAAAGAAGCATGTATCCACCCGTGTTTCATCAACCAATGAATTGCCAAAAATGTGGTACATGTGCAAATGGAATACTTACTACTCATCCACAAAAATATTGAAGTCCTGATGTATGCCAAAACATGGATTTAAATGTAGAGCATTATATTATGAGAAGACTTTCACACTAGAAAGGCAATTGGATGATTACTTGTTAGATAAACATGTCCTCCAAGAGAACTAACACTGAACCCCAAGAGACCCCATAGACAGAGGGAGAGACATTCATCCCTCCCATCCAGTCATCTTCAATTTCATGAGGGGTAGGGTCAAAGGACAGACCCTGAGGAAGCCAGGGAACAGCAAGAAGTTACTATTTTTAGCCAGTGCTTGAGCAAGGGCAGATCTGAAAAGGGTCAGCTGAGATGTAGGGGAAAAAGCCCACAGGTACATGCCTTTCTAAGTAACTCTCTTCCCAACATCATAAATTGAACAAAAACCTGAAGAGAATGTATTGTGTCAGTTTTTGTCAGTTGGGCTTAAAGACAACATGGGATTGGGAGCCGAGGGAGCTCATTTGGATATCCCAGGAGGGAATTTGGCATTACATTACTAAATGACACATATTTAAATCTTTTGAGAATGTAGGTGGTGTATGTATGTGAATATGTCATACATGTATGCATATATGTGGGTGTACAAATGTAGAAGCAATAGGTCAGTATCAAATGTCTTCCATCGTTGCAACTCCATCTTTATCTTTTAAGATAGTCTCTCAGCAAGTCTAGATCTCATCACTTCTATTAGACTAGCTGACCAGAAGCCCCAGGAATACTCCTGGCTCTGCTTTCCTTGTGCTGAGATTAAAGGTACATACCACCAGGTTTAAAGGGTTTTTTTTTTTTTTTTTTTTTGTGACAGGGTTTTCCTTGGGCCCCCGCTTTTTTTGAGACAGGGTTTCCCTGTGGCCCCAGCTTGCCTGGAACTCACTATGCAGACCAGGCTGAACTTGAACTCACAGAGATCCACCTGCCTCTGTCTCCTGAGTGCAGGGACTAAAAGCATGCACCATCATGCCAGGTAAGATAGACATTATTAACATGATTTTTGACATTGAAAAATGCATACATATACGGAAACTTTTGATGGTACCACACTATGGTAATATGCATGATTTCTGTGTTTTATATTTTTCCCTTAAAATAAATTTATATAAAGTACTAACCAACTTGATCCCTACATACAAATTAATTGCATCTTTTCTAAGAAGGGCTGATGAGGAGCTTCAGATACTCTCACAGGAGACCTCTCCAGAGATCTCCAAGACTGCATAATTGACTCCAAACCTCAGCCTCAAGAATACCAACCTGACTCAATAGCATCTCATTTTAGAAAGGACTGTGTGCTATGCCTGTTGAATGTCATGTATTCATTTAAAGAGTAATCACACTGACCTAAAGATTCACTGTGAGTTTTCACCAAAAACGGGGAAAATATTCAAAGATAAAATCACATTCAATGACTTTTAAATGACCACTTCTTTGTGAGATACACTGTAGACTCTCTAATTTGTCATTTATAGACATGATCAGGGAATTATGTAAGAGATGTGATTTTATTATGTTTATTTTATAAATCAGAAAGAAGTGCCTCTTGTGTGAGCACAAAAAGTGAATGGTGGATTTTTATGTAGGATCCCTGTTAATAACATCATATCCATTTTTCTTTTCCTAACAATGGCTAGGACCTTCTGAGCAGAGCCAGAGTGGGTGTTCCTCTGAAACGATATTTGCAGCTTTTCATGAAAGATTTTATACTTTGGAATTACTGCTGTATGCTAAATGTTCTTTCCATTCTGAAAACTGATGTTTCTATATTCCATAAACATTTAAGAGGAAGTGTAATTCATGCAAAAGCAGTGGAATATATAGATATGTAGATACATACGTGTGTTTATATATATATATATATTTACTATGAGATCCTTGAAAATACAAAGGAGTTTTCAAGATTGTTCTCAAATAATGATCCAACAAATGTGAGTATGAGAAATTTGTAAATGTCGGTGTGTCTGTCATAGAAGCTTATTAATAGGTGTTGCTTCTGTCCCCATATATGAACAAACAATAAGACATGATGCTTTGATGACTTTGGGGATGATTTTATCATATTCAGAATACATTTATATATCATAGTGTATGTGATTGAAGCACTCCATATAATTGAAGTCCATGCTTCTTTGGTAGAACATAGATGTACAGAATGGCACTATACTAAAAGAAGATTATATTTTGTAATTTCAATTTTCAAATAAATCTATTCCTCATTTCCCATTGATATAGAACATCTAGAGATTATCAGATATCACTAATGAATAACGGGACAGAAGTGACACAGTTCATCCTGCTGGGAATCACTGATGACCCAGACCTGCAGGCTCCCCTCTTTATCACCTTCCTCCTCATCTACACCATCACTCTTTGGGGGAACCTGGGCATGATCCTGCTGATTTGCATGGACTCTCAGCTCCACACTCCCATGTACTGTTTCCTAGGTAACCTTTCTCTGGTGGACTTTTGTTACTCCTCAGCTGTCACTCCCACAGTCATGGTTAGACTCCTCACAGGTGATACAGTTATTTCCTACAATGACTGTGCTGCTCAGATGTTCTTTTTTGGAACCTTTGCTACTGTAGAAAATTACCTGTTGGCCTCCATGGCTTATTATCACTATGCAGCAGTGTGCAAGCCCCTGCACTATGCCACCACCATGACTACAGGTGTCTGTGCATTGCTGGTCATTGGCCCATATGTCATAGGTTTCCTGAATGCCTGCATTCACGTTGGGGACATATTCAGTCTCACTTTCTGTAAGTCCAACATGGTCCACCACTTTTTCTGTGATGTTCCAGCACTCACGGTTCTTGCTTGCTTTGACAGTGAGATTAGTGAACTGGTTCTTCTTTGTGTTGAGAGTTTAAATATCATTTTTTCTGTCATGGTTATCGGGACTTCTTACATGTTCATTTTTGTCACCATCCTAAAGATGCACTCAGCCGCAGGCCATCGCAAGGCTGTGTCCACCTGTGCCTCCCACTTCACTGCAGTCTCCATCTTCTATGGAAATTTCAGCTTCATGTACTTAAAGCCCAGCTCCAGTCACTCTATGAACACAGACAAAATAGCATCTGTGTTCTACACCATGGTCATTCCCATGCTGAATCCTCTGGTCTACAGCCTGAGGGACACAGAAGTCAAGAGTGCATTCTTAAAGGTAACGAGTGCATTCTTTTGTTGGAGGCATGATTTTTAGGATTTTTATTTAAAGGTGTGGGATACACAGTTCCTAGATTCATTCCACTCAGATTTCCTGTGCTGAGTTAAAGGTCATGTCTACACTAAAAATAAACCTAGTGAAATGATATCCTTACATATTCAAAGCTGTATTTCATGGAAAAATAAAATATTTTCTACAGAAAATACACGTATAAGAATAGTTTAGATGTTTTGGAGTAATGCTTTTAAAATCATCACTAAGGATACTGATACATCGCTGATTTCACAAATTTTTTCCTATTATACATCAGTTTAAATATGCATAAATGATGTCAAAATTTACCCCAGGAACAGAAGGGATATGTGAGAGCATCTATGATATCTTAGGCACATGGATGTGTCAACTCTGATGAAGCTGAATGTATTGTGGTTGCTTGTGGTAGTTAGTTTTTTGTCTTTATTTGACTGTCAGCACATTTCCTAACCAGCCTAAACCTTTAACATTGAAGCAGCTGACTTGGAAAACATGATATTCCCTCTTATATGAAAGAGTACATCATCTCAACCACTGAGAGCTCAGCTAAGGAAAAACCTGCTCATTTTCAGTAGGTTTATTCCTTACTTCCTTGCTTGTTTCTTTTATTGCACAGAAGCTTTGTAGTTTAATAAAGTCCCACTTGATTGTTGAACCTAATGCCTGAGCAACTGGTGTCTGATTTAGAAAGTCCTCTCTTACACATGTATCTTGTGCTTTATTGCCTGTTTTCTTCTAGCAGTTTCAGAGTTTCCGGTTATATATTGAGGATTTTGGTCCATTTGTAGCTTTTTGTACAGAGTGAAAGATAAGGGAACAATTTCATTCTTCTACAGGTTAAAGACCCAATTTTGCCAACACCATTTATTGAAAATGCTTTTATTCCTCCATCGGTGCTCTTAGCACCTTTGTCTAATATCAGGTGGCTGAAATTGCATACAGTCATGTTAGAGTCTTCTATTGTGTTCCATTGATCTATGTGTCTATTTTTGTGCCAGTACCATGCTGTTTTTATGGCTACAGCTATGTAATATAATCTGGAATATAGCATGGTGATTCCCCCTACTGCTGCCCCAGCATTGCTCTTCATGCCCAGATTGCTTTGAATATCTGGGGTCTTTTGTGATTCTATATGAATTTAGGATTTTTTTTAGCTGTGTGAAGAACGTCATGTAGTTTTAATTGACATTATATTGAATCTATATATTGGTTTTGGTAAGATAGTCATTTTCACAATATTAATGATACCAATCCATGAGCATAGTAGGTCCTTCCATCTCCTGATGCCTTCCTCTGTCTATTTATTTAAAGACTTAAATTTTTCATTGTAGAAATCTTTAGTGTCTTTGGCTAGACTTGTTCCTAAGTATTTTATTTTTCTCAGGTTATTCTGCATGGGACAGTTTCCTTGAATGCTTTTTTTATTGCTTTTTATTGATATATGGAAAGGCTACTGATTTTTAAAGTTGATTTTGTAACCTGCCACTTTACTGAAAGCATTAAGCATTTCTATAAGTTTTTTGGTAGACATTTTGGGATCTTATGTATAATATCATCTCCAAATAGTGATAATTTGACTTCTTTTTCAATTAGTACTCTTTGATTTCCTTTTCTTGTCTTATTTCTCTTACAAGACATTCAAGCACTATATTTAAAAGGAGTGGCTCTCACTCATTTCATTCTCCCATCCCACAAACAATCAGCTGAACTGGTCCTAACTTTTGACGTTGGATTTCAGAACTTAAACCAGTCAGTTCCCTTTCCTCAGGCATTTGAACTTTGAGGAATTCATTACTAGCTTTTGTTCTTGAGCTTGCTGACAGTGTATGGAGTATATCCCAGTGTCTCACAGTATCCACAGCATATGGCTCTGTGCTCACAATCAGTATCCTCCAGGAGTCTATATCTTTGTATATTATTGATTCTGCACCTTAGGAGAACACGCAACAGTATCTCATTTGGCTTATAAAAATTTGAGTCGCTTATTTCTCACTGTGTTAGTATGGGTTTTATTTGAGTAGAAACACTACAGATAATTAAATGTTCTTCATTTGCACAATTTACAGAGAGATTAAGAATTCTGGCATTTCTTAGGAATTAATATGTCTGTTGAATTAAGTCACTTTTTACAACTAACCAAAATATTCATACTTGAATTTCAAAAGATTTTTTTAAAGTACAAGAAAGTGGATTAATAATTAAAATATTGTAATATATTTGTATATTAGTAAACACTCCAAATGTCATATACATCAAACTAAGAAAAGATAACACACAGTTTCCTTTGAAAGTTCTGTGAAATTTTTCATATTTGTCATTCATATTTTCATTACCTTCCCCACTCAGTTCCCATTCTTTTAGCTCTTTGAATTCTTTGCACATCAACCATGCTCATGCCACAGGACATTTTCATTTGCTGTTCCTGAGAAGAATGTTTCCCTGCACTTGCATATCTTGCTACCCTGTCATGGAGTCCACTTTGTCCACATTTATGTATCCACTTTCCACACACAGCTTACCCTCACCTGTGTCCTTCACACTGCTTGTCACCTCTTACCTACTAAAGATGTGCCTGTTTGTTTTTATTTATCCTCCCAATAGAACATATATTCTACAAGAGCAGTGAATTCACACAATTAATTGTACCTAAAGTAGATATATTTCTTAGTTGACTCTCAATAAAATATTTGTTCATTGACTTAATGAAATAATTGAGCTTTAATTTAGTTATTCCCAATGTTGACAATATTGAACATTTTGATCCTTGGTTGGGATATTCACTCATGATCAGTATAATATTTAGTGCATTTCAAGAGATATGGCCAGCTTTCTACTTTATAGAAACATTTTTATGCATTCTCAGTGAATTCTCAATTTCCTCAGTTTTAGAGAAAAGAATTTTTGGATGTAACATCCAGGTAGCTCATTTAACTGCCCCTCATAACTTTATTAGGAAGTTTTGGATGATTAAGTGGCAAGGAACATATCCTATGAAAGTGTGATTTCAAAATTCACAAGGAAGCATTAAATATGAAATTATTTAGAGTTACATTATATTGAGAAATTGCAGCATAAACACAAATTTCACAATTTGCTGAGATGATTCTAAATTCCCATGTAGACTATAAGCATGACAAAACTTTTCAGAAGAAATATTTTACATCCATACAGTGATATAAAGCACAATGCTCGTGCTTTTACTTTTGATCCCCAAAGCCTGTTGCTTCTTCAGTGTGACCAGTTTGGCTCCACCACTCCTTCCACCATGGTGTTCTGATCCCTCATGGGCCCAGAAACAGTGGCTAATCCTGGACTGTAACCAATAACCATGAGCCAACTAAATATTTCCTTTCTTTAAGTTCTTTCTATTTTAGGTATTTTATCATAGAGAAAGGAAATTGATTAACATAGAAAATGGTCACCAACAAGAAGGGCCATTCACTGCTGTGACTATTCCTGACAACATTACTCAGAAGCCCTTAGAATTGACTTACATAAGAGTTTAGAAAAGTTTGGAGATGCAACTGAGGAAAGGGCTAGAAAATTGTAAGCAGAGTTTGGGGGACAATTGTGGTAGTAGCTCAGAAAACCAAAATGCTGTTAGAATGGTGGACAATAAAGGCTATGTTTAAGAGACTTCCAGTGGAAATGAGGAGGCTACTAGGAATAGAACTTATAACCTTTTATATTATAGTCTGAGAAGGAGCATATCTATTTTCTGTCCATTTCCTGAGACTTTGTAGGAGGCTAAGCTTAAAGACCAATAGACCTGGGTGAGGAAATTCCAAGGCAGCAAAGTATTTAGGCTGTGACACAGATTCCAATACCTGCTGTTAGCCTAGTTTTCAGTAAGACTTACAAAGAAGAGCAGAAAGATCTGAAAAAACTTATAGTGCAACCAGAAAAGTGTATGAAAAGTTGGGTCTAAGAAAAGTGAAATCATTGAAAAGATTTAGCATCAGTAAAAAGAAATTGAAGGCTATGGACGTTGCTCAAGGTGTAAAGCACTTGCTGTGCCATGAGAAGGGCCACAGCTTAGATCAGCAGAATCCAAATAAACCCTCTGAATTCCCATCATTCCTACAGTGAGATAGGAAGTGGAGACGAGAATCCCCGGAAGTTCCCAGGCCAGATACCCTGGATACACAGCAGCAAACATCAAGGATCGTGTATCAATCATGGTAAAAGATAAACACTAATACTCAAGGTTATTCTCTGAATTCCACATATGTGTTTCAGCACATAAGTGCCTTTACACATATACGTGTGCACAGACTCTCCCTCTCTATCTCAATATATAAACAGAAAGACTTATTTTTTCAATTGATATTTCTATTGAATTTTTGCAATTGATCATAATCAAAATCAGATCCCTCTTAAATTTGCACCTTAATCTAGTTTGCCCACAGGATTGCACACATTCCCTCATAAAAGTTAAGGCATATTGAGTCTGATTTCTGTACCCAGATGCCCCTAGGTGTGAGTTCATCCACTGAAGCCTGGTCATCCTACTGAGTGTCACTCATTTGAAGAAGATCAACTCTCCCTCACGCAGCAATGACCAGCTTCCAATGGTTCCTCAGCTAAGATTGGGGCCTCCTGCCCATTTCTTCAGGAATGTTGTTCCTGGGAGGCTACCCATGTTCTATTAGCTAGTCCCACGTGCATGCACATAGAAGAATTACTAAGTGGACTCAGTGAGTTCCTTTAATAGGCAATAGTGGTCGAGAAAATAGAGGAAAATGGAAAGAAAAGAGAGTTCCAGCATGCTGCTAAACCTAAAGTGCTAAATGAGCCAATAGTCATCTCCCGAGAGCTGTAACATGGGCTGCTTCATAACTGAGAGATCCAACACTCGGGCTTGAGAGACCAAATACTAGCCATCTGCTGCTGACAATGCTGGCAAGGAGCTATGAGGCACAGATCACAGAGTATGTGGCCACCAACAATCAAAGCCCAGGCTTACCTACAACCAGGGCACCTAGAGCTGTCATCCTTGGGCA